ACAAGAGTTGATGAGCTTGAAAATCCAATTGGTTGAAAATCAAAACCATATGGATAAGATTATGACCAAATGACAAGAAAGGGAGGACAAATGAGCTTGTATTTGTAATATAGAAGTAAAGGCTCAAGAAATATGGAGAAAAGAAAGCTTGGAGAGCCAATACTATATAGAATACCTAACTTCTCAAATCTACAAGGCTATGCAGAAGGCCAACGAAATGGTGAAAAAAGCTGAAGAACATGAACGAGAGATCATACTAGCTCAGGATTGTAGTTAGAAATTATTAAGCTTTTTATGCAAGGCTATGGAGTAGTATGCTCAAATTAAGTGTTTTTATGGTTTTAATAAGCAAATGATTGAATGATGTACAAGGAGTTATATGGTTAATGAATGTTTCCTTTGCTTAGATCGATTCAAAACAATACCCCATTTGCATTACATTGCATTCATTTCATACATGCAATTTAATTAACAATAGTAATAATAACAATGGCATTTTACGATGTGCACTAATTCATGATTAATAAATAAAAAGCTCAAGGATAACGAAGCTAAAGAATTTAAGTCAAGCAATTTCGTATAGGTATAACACTCACTCCAAATCTTGAATCATGGATGGAGAGAACATAGTAAGGTTTGAGAGGGTCGATAAGGCATATGAGGAGAAAAAGGAAAAAATTATGGAAATACAACTGAACATTGAGGCACAGATGTTTGAATTGAAACAATTGCCAGCTAGCTCATTAAAGGGAAAATGAGTTGCTGGAACACCAGAACCGGGAGATAGGATTAATACGGAGGAACCATTGTACCTTTAAGGGTTCATCCCACCTTAAGTTCAAGTTTCTTGGGGAATCCATTTGCAGCCACTAACCATATAACCTTACACATGCACCAATCTATCTGCTAGTTAACCCTAGATTCACGTAAATGTCAACCAAGGATTGGGCCTTGTCAATCCCATCATAATACCAAACTTAGATAACCCCACAGAACAAGAAAAGCTATGTGGACCACTAAAGAATTCCACCATTGATGCACTCCTTCTTCAAATACATCATTTGTTGGTTAAGAAGTGCTTTGCCATTCACCATCTGGGGAGGAAAGAATTTCGAAGATTGATTGTTTGATGCCAAGAAAAGCTTTCTCCATTCCATAGTATTTTTTTGCTCACTGTTCACTGAGACAAGTGTAGGACCTTGATCTCTATTGCTGGCAGCCTCCCACTTTTACCAGAAGAAGATGGATTAGGAAACGTACTAGCATTTTAGTAATCAAATCAAGCACCAATCTTAATGATCCAATCAGCAGCAGAAAATGTATGAAAACTAATGAATGGAATCAACAATGCAGGAAAAAAATAATAATTTCAACAAAAAAATTGGCGGTTATGTAAGAAAGTTTGCGATTTTGCAAGAAAATATTGGTAGTTAGGCTAGAAAATCCTCAGCACATGAGAGACCTGCAAATGTGAGTTGAGAGCATTTTCTTAACATACGCCTCTCTCCAATTGAGGGTTTACCTGTTTTGAAAATTTTATTACTAAAATATTGATTACATTCTCCCAAGTGTTTGCAACAATTTAGTTTATACTTTTGCTGCAAAAAAAGTATGTAACACCTATTGCAACATAATTACTTGTGTTGCAAAAAACTTTTTTGGTAACAAAGTATAAATTGTTGCAAGTTACCGCAAATGATACGGTTGCAAAAGTATTTGCAACAACGGTTAAGTATGTTTTTGTTGCAACTATAGTTTATAATGGTCTATTACAATATAGTACATTCTATGCTGTAAAATGATATATTTTTTGCAATATTATTAAAATTATTCGAAAAAATTTTGTTTCCAAATGTAAAATTCTTTGTTTTTAAAAGTCAAGGGCTCCATTAACCAAATTTATTGAATTTTAAGTTTGTACTTTAAACATTGCAACCACCTAACTGTAAATTAATTGATGTTTCAAGACTTGGAAAATGTTAACGAATGATATTTAAAGAAGAAAAGTAATTAATAGTTATCCCCTCTTAAATTTAAAGAAATAATATATCATAAAATAATTGTTATAAATTAATATTTTAACTAACCTTAATGAGTTGAGTGCCTATATATTGGTATTGGCAGCGGCGTCTAACCAGTGAGCTTAAAGACAAGCTCATATAATTGGTTGGTGAGATTGAATGAAGTTTCTGCTGACTTTAGCGGAGCTTTGGCTGTTTGAAAATATGTCAGCTGATACGTTTCGTTCATTTTAGATATATGTCATGATTACAATAATATTTCTTTTTTTTTTTTTTTGGTTACAGGATGGCAAAGCCTAATATAAGTACAGGGAAAGGAGAAGCCTGACTCAATATCAGGTCCTTAATGTCCCCTCAAATACTTTTAACTATTAGATCAAAGGTTTTTTATGTCCCTCAAATGCTTTTAATCACTAAACCAAAAGTTAGGGTCGATTATAATAATTGATTTCTTAGGTCTTCTCTTTTTTTTTTTTTTTGCTTGGTCAAATCTCTTTTTCTCCTTTTGGTTGGTTAACTTTTTGCAATTGTAAACGCAAAAGGAAATTAAAAAAATAAAAGAGGAAGATAAAACACCTTGACTTTAATAATGGCTTAATTTAAGATTAAGACACAACAGGGAGGGGTGCTATCTATGCTATAAATGCCATTTCCCCAATCTTTACATTACCAATCATCTAACTATTTTTTTTCCTTATTGGGGAAAAGTATGAAAGAAATGCTAAAGAAATAAGAGAGCGTTTTAAAACATTTGACTTTTAATAACCCTTAGGTTTTTAATCCTTTCAAGAGGTGGAATAAACCCTTACCTCAAACTTGAATTGTTACCTTAGACTATTCACCCATTTGTCTTTTCCATCCATGTTTTGAAAAGTAAAATCGAATTTACTATTCTCAAATTTTTGAAAAAATCCCTCGACTGCCTGATGAGATATTATCTCAACGGCAACAAGGTTCAACCACAGCTTCTATATCTCTGGTTTAGGTTTCACTTGCATGTTAAAAGTTATTTTATCATAATTTTAATTTATATTAACATAGGTAGTTCCACAAATAAAAAAAGAAAAAAAGAAAAAAAAACCCTCTTGGAAGATGCTTATCCATTAAACTCATTTTTTTTTTTTTGTTTTCTGTTTGAAACTGTTAAATTTTAAAATTTGATAATTGAAGTAAAAATTTTAACATTTTATCATTAAATCACTTACTATTGACCATAATAAAATCCATTTTGACCTGTCATTATAGATGAATTATTTAACCAAAAATAATTTTAATTTGTTCAAATAAAAGACTCAAATTGGTCACCTCGATTACAATGGAGTAGAAAATTCAAATGGTAATACTCATCTTTGCTACAAAATTTCACAATTGCAATCAATTGTTGAAGTTAATCTAAGCCACAAGAGAAGGAGCCACGGCTGACCTAAAGTTCAATCTTATCCTTTTGCTGCAATTCCAGGCACCCGTCTTTGTCTAATAAAAGGGTTGTCTTTTACTTGTTGAGCAAATGGACCAGAGCTGAGCTACATTACCAAATTTGCACTTTCTCATACGTCAACCAATTACCTGTTAACACACTCACGTCTGTCATTAATTGTAGCTAGAACTAAATATATATATATATATATATATTTAATGGAAAAATTAAACAAAAAATGGAAACAATTTTGTTTCTAAGCATCCGGTCCCAACAGTAGTTAGAACTTAATTTCTTTTCTCTTTGAGAGTCTTCGATAAAGGAGAAAGGATTTACTTTCCTCCTAAGCAAGGAGAGTAAGATTAGAGGTGTAATCAACCTAAATTGATTCAATACATTATAAAGTTTGAGTTCAATTTGATTTTGGATTTGAGTTCAATCAATTTTTTTTTTCATATTTGAGACTGATTTGTAATTTTTTAAGTCACTTGAACTCAACTTGAGTACTTGGATTCTTCATTAATTTTCTTATAAACCTCAAATTCTTGATTAATCCTCTCCTCTTCATAAACCTTAAATTCTTGATTAATTTTCTAAAAACATTCAAACTTGAAGCAAAATTCATTATTCATATAATTTACATGGAAATGAGGTAATAAAATGACATAATTAGTTAATTACATAAGCATTATAAAGGCTTTTTTTTGTTAATTATTCACCTAAAAAAAGCGTAAATTTAAACAATCAACAAATTTTAGTTTAACTAATTGATTCAATGATCAAGTGTCTAAAATTGCAAAATTTAGAGATGCAGAAGTAGGCCAGTAGATCTTCATACATATCAAAAAGAAAAGGAAGATTGCTTGCGACTAGAAAAATTAAAGATAAAATGTTTAGATGATAAAACACAACGTGTAAGTCAATAAGCAAAAACTAAAAATAGTTTCTGCATGAAAATTTAATCAATATTTATGAAGGGTAAGAATTTTATTGTTTTAATTAAATTGATCATTGGATAAATTTTTTTTGAATTTGCCAAAAGCTTTTTTAATTTCTTTTATTCAATATATCAATTTTATAAAGTTTAAGGTTTATAAACTTCAATTTATTAGAAGTTCATTTTTCTCAACCACAACAAGAACAATGCCCAAAGCCAGAAAATTTCCAATTCCTAGAACATGTGTCTATTTCAAATGAGTATCGTTCCTCACAAGAAAAAGAAAAAAAGGAATAGAAAAGAAAATAAGATAAACCAAAAAGAAGTTAATCGATGGCTAGCTCATTGATTGCGAAAAGGGTAATACAAAAGTGCCAGTACGTAGTTGCGCCGTTGTTGGCCGCCGACGTAATGGCCTCAAACAAAACCAAACGAACAACAACAGACAATATTGAAATATCTAACCTTTTGACAAACCCACTCTCAAACACACATTGATGTTGGCATTTACATGATTAAGATATAGACAATTTTCGCCCTTTATTTTCGTCAACGGTCAGAATCGCTGGCTTCACATTCACATTCCTCTCTCCACACCCTCCCTTTTATATTCTTTCTATATATGTACATGGCTCTCTCTCCATCTATATCTCTAACAGCCTTTTTCGTTCTTCAACAGACTCTTCTAATTCCTCCTTTTTGCTCCTTGTCAAGTTCTACACATCTTCTCTAATTTAATTTCTCAGCTTTTTCAGCTCTCCGGTTGAGAATTCATTCATTCAACCATGAGCCCTGTAAATTCCCATGAACGTCCTCCCAGGAGAGATCTAATGATTAATGGTCTCCGTCCTTCTCCATTGACGATCAGCAAAGACTCTCATTTCATTCAAAAACCATCTGCTGGGGTGATGTCTCAGACTGCTGCTGCTCGTCCCAAGCAACAGCAGCGACAGGGTCCGGTCATCATTTACACGTATTCGCCTAAGATTATCCACACGCAGGCTCGGGACTTCATGGCCTTGGTTCAAAAGCTTACAGGGTTTTCAAGGTCTGATGAGGTTAATGAAACTGCACCATCACGTCCACGAAAGAACAAAGCCAAGGATAACTCCCTTTCACCCTTGGAAGGTGATATTAATACGAAGCTTGCTGCCAACAGACAGGAAGATAACGACTCATCTTCAGCACTTACTGATGAAAATGGATGTTTTAGTGTTGCTGGTGGAGATGTCAATAATGTCAGCTCGTCTTATGTTCCTATGACTGTCAGTCCTACAAATCCCTTTTTTGCTGATATACCTCTCTTCACCCCCAATTCGGCGGCTTTCTTTTGCTCACCGAGGCCTGTTTATAAGTTTGCTGATAATGCAATTGTGTCTCCAAGCTTGGGCAATTCGAACTCACCAACTCTGCTAGAATTCATGAAAGGGCTCCCAGATTACTGAAAGCTGTGAACAAATCGAGGTACTCGCAGTAGAGAGGCTTAGCTGTAGTCTCTTTCTTTGTTGCAAAAAATGATCAATTGTTTCATGTTCATAGCTTTTCTTTCTTTTTTTGTTCTTGGCTTGTCCTTAGTTTGTATTTTTGTGATTAAATCTTAGTTGAATCGACCTGCCAGAGATGATCATCAGGCATCAAGTGTGAATTAGAAGGTCATTTCATTTATTCTTTTGGTCATCCAAGGGGAAGATTGATCTTCCTTAATCTATAAGGCATTGATTTTTCTTCTCCACAGTCGTAATTATTTTTTTCCTCTTATTTTCAATCCCCAATCTGCAATTTTTTCTTCCCTTATTAAATCTTCATTATTGAGATTGCCCTATTCTATAGCTTGGCCAATGTTCAAAAAAAGAATACTAAATGATCAACTCATGCTTACGACAGCAAAATTACATAAAAAGAAATTCAAAAGTCAACGCGAGAGAACAATAATAAGTTGATTTATTCTGGATTTACCCATTGATACTGCTTTTATTTGCCATTCGTAGGCTTTAACTTCCAACTTGCAGCAATCTCAAATTCCATTGACTGCAAGAAAGAGAATGATATGTACAGCTTCCCTTTTAAAAAAAATGTATGCCGTCGTTTTACCATTTTCAAACAATTAATTAAGTAGAATATATACCTATACCTAATGCAATTAATTTAATTAAGAAGAACTTGTGGATGTTGAGTAAAATTCCCATTCAAATGAAAAATATCATCTAAAGTCATCCGTGTAAAATGAACTGTAAAGCAGCGTTGACAATTAACAAGGTTTGACAAACTTAGGAACATTTTCTTTTGAGACTGATCAAATTAATTTCAGTCGGTTATGTAGCCCTAACTAGTGATCCTGTATATTAAACCAATCAGCTTTAATGGTTTGTTTTCTTTTGTTCCAACAGCCACAGGTCTTCGGCTCAAACCAGGTCAATCAGCTGCTGTCTGCACCCGTCCACCCAAGGTTCCTACACCATCATCAAAATAGAAGAGTCCTATGTGTTACGAATATTGACTCAAATCTCATAAGAGATTTGTTTGGGATTTGTTTGAAATTTGTTTGAGATTTGTCAGATATTGCTTGATGGACAAGAAGACTTGCAAAAGAAGAATTCTAAGAAAAAAAGGATTCTTAATAGGCAAGTTTGACTTACAGGAGAAGAATTCTAAGAGGAGAGTGATTCTTAATGGGCAAGTTTGTATGGTTATAAATAAGTGAAGTCTCTACAAGGTTTGGTATGAGAACAAGATGTAAGAAAGTTGTAAGATTTTGTGGGATAGACACCCCATAGGAGTATTAGGGCTCTACATCTTATGAGTGTGTATGTTTGTTTGTGAATGGACTAGAGGAGACTGAGAGGGTCCACATAGGTATGATGTATAGGAGCATAGGGGTATGTGTTTGGTTATGTTGAAAGGGTGCACAAGGGCTTGGGTTTGTGTTTGTTTGGGTTGAGAATACTCCATAAGACTAGAGAAGATTGAGAGTGTCTTATAAGTATTGATTGTTGAGTGAGATTGATGATTTGATGTATGTTTGTAATTCTCTACAACTAGTGGATCTTGTTTTTCATCCGTGGACGTAGGTTGATTGGACCAAATCATGTTAAATTATTGTCTTTTATATGTTTAATTTATTGTTTAATTTCGCTTCCATTGGTGTGATTGGATTGGAGGCTTTTAGCCCAACACTATGAACTCTAGCTTCTCTTGTTTCTTAGATAAATGTTGTGTTTTATTCATCCAAGAAGCTAGGAATCATATTCTGCTATCAAATCATCTATGAATGAGTGATACAAATTTGCCAATTTGTACATAGAGAAGAATTTTTTGTTGAGAATGTGGGGTCTAGCCCCATTCTTATGTGTTTTTACAAATTAAAGGCTACAGGCCTTATGTTTTATGCTACCCAAGAGAGCTTTACGTAACAAATGAAAGTGGAGGTTATTTTGGCATGAGAATAAGTGGTGTGGCACCGAAAAGGAAAAAAAGAATAAAAAAAGATAGAGAGAGAAGGAGAAGAAAGAGTTATCAATTGAACAAAAGTCGATTCGTAATCCGATTGAATTAAAATTTTGTCAACAAGTTCATGATTCAGTGTTCTGCATTTTGAATGATGGAGATTGGGTTTAAAGCTCTTTAAGAATAAATCTAATGTGTGTTTATTGGGTTACCTATTTGATAAGATTTCTCTAATTGTCTCTCTAGTTGTTGACTAGTTCTAGTTTTAGCAAGAGAAAAACTTTGCATGTGCATTATTTGATAGTGGAGACTTTTTTCATGGTCCATAGTTTCTTTCCTTTATACTAGAGGATTTTTTAAGTAAATCATAGTGTATTTTATTTTTCCTGTATTGTTTATTATTGATTGTTGTCTATTTGTTATAGGTTTATTACGATATATTACTTTTGTGTTATTGTGTTTATCGCTTAAAGCTCAACAAGTGGCATTAAAGCCTAATTATTTTAAGATATCGATATAGAAGTAACCCGGGATAGAAGTAAATTTTATTTAAAATCATGGAGGGTTCTATAGGTTTCATGATAAAATTGACAGCATCAAAATTTTCAATTTGGAAGCCTATGATAGAGGATCATTTATTCTGTAAAAATTTGTATGAACCAATATTGGGTGATTCAACTAAGCTAGCAAATACGAAAGATAAAAACTAAAAGAAGCTAGGTAGAAAGACATTGACCACAATAAAAAAATGTGTTGATATCAGCATATTCTATCATATAGCATAAGAGACTAATGCCCATACCATTTGAGAAAAATTGACAGCATTGTATGAGAGAAAAACAAGTATGAATAAAGTTATACTTATTAAAAAGCTTGCCACTTTATAGTACAGGTATGAATAATCGATTATAGAGAACTTAAGTGATTTTTAAGATATATTCAATCGGATAACTACTATAAAGCTTCAAATGAACGATGAAATGAAGGCATTGTTTCTTTTGGGTTCATTACTAGACAAGTAGAATACTTAAGTTGTGGCTATTCTCAATTCAGCTCCTATTACAAAGTGATATTGAATATGGTAAAGGATAATATGCTTAATGAAGAAGCAAGGTAAAAAGATTCAAACTCTGGGAATCAAGCCCTTGTCATAAAGAATACGGGTAAAAACATTGATAGAGGTCAGAACTCAAAAATCGCAGTAAGTGTAAACATAGATCCGAGTCTAAAGATAAAGTGAAATGCTATCATTGTGGTAACTAGGTCATATAAAGTGATACTACAAAATCTTGAAGCAAGAGTGGAAAGATAAGAAAGCTAAAAGTTTAAATGATAACAATGTTGTAGCAGTGAATTTGGATAGTGATTCGGTTATTTTGATTTGTACACATGGTGATTGTAATCATGTTAGTGATCTTAGCATTAAATGGATAGTTTTCACAAAAGCAACATATCATTGTGTTCCTCAAAAAGAGTTAGTTATAACCTATAAAGCAAGAAACTTTGGTTACACATAGATAGGAAACAATAGTGTGTTACAGATTATTGAGATTGATAATATTATTGTAAAAACTAGTACGGGCTATATATTGACTTTAAGAGATATTAGACACATTCTGGATATGAGAATGAACTTATTTACAATTAATGTCTTTGATAAAGAAAGATATGAGAGTCAACAAAAGAATGAGCAATGAAAGTTTCTTAAAGGACTATGATAGTTGCAAGGAAAAAATTATGTTGCGTAATATACAAGACATAGATACAATTGAATGGCACTAAATAAATGTCGTTAAGGATGATACTTTAGCAAATATATGGCATAAAAAGTTGGCACACATGAGTGAAAACAAGTTACAGATTTTGGCAAAATGGTCACTCATTTCTTTAACCAAAGATATATCTCGATTCATGTAATCATTATTTACTTGGCAAGTATCATTGAATTTCTTTTCATAAACATTCTCAGATAAAAGAAAATAAATCAAAATTGATTCATTTTGATGTATGTGGTCCCATTGAGGTTGAGTCATTGAGTGATAAAAGGTATTTTGTTTAATGATGCTTGACATAAGACTTGGGTGTATCTATTGAAAATAGAAGCCAAGTACTATAGTACTTTCAAAACTTTCATACCATAGTGGAAAGGATTATGAGGTTGCCATTGAAGTGTATTCGAACTAATAATGATAGAGAATACACATCTAAAGACTTTGAAGAATATTTTTCAAAGTATAAGATCAAGCATGGGATGATAGAACTTGAAACACCATAACATAATGTATAGCTAAAAGGATAAACCATACCATTGTGCAAAAAGTCAAATGTATATTGAGGATGGCAAAATTAACAACACTATTTTAGAGTGAAGCAGTCAACACAGCTTTCTATTTGCTTAATAGATCACTATTAGCTCCTTTGGGCTTTGATATTTCAAAAAAAATTATAGACAGAGAAAAATGCTTTATACTTTCACTTGAAAGTTATCAAGTGTAAAGCATTCATACATGTGTCGAAAAAGTAGAGCTCAAAGCTTAATAGTAAAGCCACATAGAGTGTGTTTGTAGGATATGGTGATAAGAAATTTAGCCACTGAGTATGGATCTCGTGAAGAGAAAGATAGTCAGAAACATAGATATGGTCTTTTATGAAAAAGAAACCAAATCAGAACTTGAAAAAAATGGGAAGACTACATGGATTACTATTGAATGTGATGTTTCAATACCAATAGGGATTCCAACAAAAAAAGTCATAGATGGTGGAAATAAGAAAGAGATAAAACTTAGACATACGAATAAGATAGCCACAGTTAATGATGAGCCAAATACAATCAGTTTTGAGTAAGGAGAACAATCCTTTTTACTTAAAAATGTTGAGTAGGGTGAGCAATCCTCTCTATTAGAAACTCTTGAGTAGGGAGAGCTACCCTTATCATTAGGTTGCATAGAGTTTCAACCTAGAAAATCTACCAGAGAGCATCATTTATCATCAATCAGGTATCCAAGTTCATATTTTATTTTAGTTACCAGTGAGGGATAGCTAAAAAGCTTTTAAGATGTGTAGAATACTCTAGATAGAGAGCATTGGTTAAAAGTAATAAAAAAAATGAGTCATTTCAAAAAAATGATATATAGGATCTTGTTAAACTTTCAAAAAGGATGAGGCCATTAAAGAATAAATGGGTGCTCAAGCTAAAAAAAGATTAGTGAGGTATAAAGCTTAATTTGTGATGAAAAGTTTTTCTCATAAATGTGGTATCGATTTTGATGAGATCTTTTCTTCATTTATGAAGATAAGTTCCATTCAAGTAGTGTTAAGGTTAGTAGCTAGTTTGAATCTTAAACTTGAGCAACTTGATGTTAAGATTATATTCTTATATAGTGACTGGCAAGAGGAGATTTATATGGATCAGCCTAAAGATTTTGAAGTAAAAAAAAAAAGAGCACTTAGTTTGCAAATTGAAAAAAAGCTTATATGGCTTGAAACAAGCTCTACAACAATGGTATAAAAAGTTTGATTCTTTTATGGTGAGTCAAAGCAATAAAAGAATGGTAGCAGATCCTTATGTATATGTTAAAAAATTTCCTAATTGTAACTTCATTATTCTCTTATTATATGTTGATGATATATTGATTATGAGATAAAATGTTGGGTTCACAAGTTAAAAGAACAATTGTCTAAGTCCTTTGAAATAAAAGATTTAGATCCAGTAAAGTAAATTCTTGATATAGATATTATTCGAGATAAGAGAGCTAAAAAGTTATGATTATCACAAAAAAGTATTTTAAATGGGTACTTAATAGATTTAACATGCAGCATACTAAATCGATTAGCACTCCACTTGCCAACTATTTTCATTTGAGTAAGAAGTCTTATCCAGTGATTAAGGAAGAACAACTAGCTATGTCTAGTATTTCTTATTCTTTTATAGTTGGTTCCTTGATATATCTTATAGTTTACACATGGCTTGACTTTGCTTATGCAGTTAGTGTAGTGAGCAATTTTTTTTCTAATCTGGATAAAGTTCACTGGGAAGTAATCAAATGGATTTTCATTTATTTGAGAGAAATTTAAAAAATGTGCTTGAGTTATG